GGCCTGGGAACTCACTGATGTTTTAATCTATTTCTTCCTCCTTTTAAATGCTGATCATGAGCCACTGAATTACTTTCACGACCCACTAATGGGGTGGTGACCTGCACTTGGAGAAGCAGTGATCTCGGAAATGCAAACGTCAGCATGTGCCCCAGTCCCTGTTGGGTTATTCAATGAATCCATTTATCACACTACTTATGCAGGCCCCAGGGGGCAGGGCTGGGGACTCAAGGCCCAGGGCCTGCACTTGAGTGGCACCCTCTCTGGGGACACATGGCAATGACAGGGTGACCGGAGGAGGGACCAGGGGTGTCACAGCAGGGTTCGCTGTGGGTGGGCACAGCCAGGGTGACAGCAGTGGCTGGAGGAGGAGTCTGACCTAGGAATGGGCACTGGGATGGAATCGCCAAGATTGTTAAAGTCAGTTTATGAGAAAACCATCCTCTCTTGGAAAACCACTTTATAAGGACAGGGGAACCCTAAGGTGCTCATTTACCCACTATAATGGGTCATGATGCGACCGTGGAGTGGGATTATGAGCTCCAATTCTACGACGTCTGGCTCGAGTGTTCAACCAACCTTTTAGAGAGCTGGAAAGTAGGGCACCAAGGGGCCGGGATCGGTGGGAGCTTGGTCCTGCCGTTCCCAGGACAACTGCACAGCCATGTCCCTGGCCCGGGCATAAGTTTGCTTAGGACATCACCAACAGTGCTTGGTGACGAGAGTGCAACATAAGGGCCAGGACCCCGGTACAGAGGCCTGGCCCCGCTGCACACCCTCTGCGGGAAGGACAACCCTGTCTCTCTGCGGACCTCTGGCCCTGCGAGGGGACAGCCCTCCCCTGAATTCCACAGGGTGCAGCCGTTCTTGGACTGCACTGGCTTCCCCCACTGTGCCTGCTGTGTCCCTGATGACATCAACAGACGTCTTCTGGGGGCTGCATGTCCCCTGAGAGCACCCGAGGAGAGAACAGATGGGGCATCTCAGTCCCGAGCTGAAGGGCACCTGGGTCCATGCCAGATCTGGCTTTGGAGCTGGGCAGCCTAGCTGATGAACCCCACCTTCCCAGCCTTCTGACTACCTGGCCACTGTGGTGACTCAAACAACCAGCTTCCCAGCCACAGGAAATCTCCTGGTGCGTGTCCACAAGGTTCTTCCCATGAATCGGGCACTGGGCAATCACAGCTATTGCTTCCATGTTAAGCAGACTTGCAGCCCATCCCAGTGTCCCTGGTGGTGGCCAGCACTGGGTACACCCTCAAGAACAGGAGCAGGCCCAATATACCTGGAGGCCCGGTTTCTGGCCACAAGGAGATGGGCTAGTGGCCCTTGCTTTGGTTCTTGATTCACCAGTAGGACTCAGTTAAAAGAACTTGACAGGGTAAGAGAAGAGGACACAGGCATGGGGGAGAACGTAGGAGCAGGCAAGGCTGAGTCTCCTTCCTGGGGTGCAGCAGCACTGAAGAAGTGACAGTGCCTGCAGTGCATTCAGTACCGTTCCAGGGTGCCCAGCCCTTGTGTAAGACGGTGCCATGTTTGCATAGAATCCCCACATGCCCTCCCACAGAGGCACATTGGTAAGTCCCCCTGGAATGCTGAGGGCACCGGGCACCAGGGAAATGCTGTGTGCACCTGTGCCCTGCTGCAAGGTGGGACAAAAATGAGACTGACTCTGAGGACACAGGACCTGAGGCTACACAGGGCCAGCTGCCACTGGAGCCCACTGACTGCATCTTTCTCTGTGGCCTGGAGTGGCCACTTCCCATCCCTGCACTTCTCAGGGGGCCCCCGAATACCGGGGGCCACCAGATTGCCAGTCTGGAGGTGCCATAGTGAGCCTGGGCTGAGTGTGGGGACGGACGCACCCCCGACTGCCTGGCCAGCTGGAAAGCAGCTACTTCAGGGGAGGACACATTTTGACCCTAGACACAGTGGTGGTTGCACCGCATTGTGAATGCACAAAACCCACCAAACGGCTCACTTTATAACGGGAGCTCTGTATTACAGGGATCTCACCACAGGAAACGGACGGGTGACACCGGCAACCTCCAGCAGGGCACAGCTGCTCCCACGCTGCCTGGCCTGTCTTAGCCACGGAGCTGGGCTGGGCTGAGGGGCTGATGGGTCCTGGCTCCCTCTTGTTCCAGCAGGGACTGAGTCCAGGTGATGACACTGCATGTGCAGAGCTGGGCACATGTGCAAAGCCAGTGCCCCGGGAAAAGGGCTCAGCAAGGGGAGAGACAGAGGTGCCCGCCTTGCTGGGCCCCCAGCTGGTGGCTAGGCACTGGGTCACTGACACAAAGGCTGTGCTCGTCGGGCTCCAGGGCAGCAAGGTGACTGCACCGCAGATATGGATTTGGAGCAAGTGTCCGACCCACAGCCCCTGGCTGCTTGTGGCCTGGACAGCTGGTCATGCAGCCTCAGGGACCACAGGAAACTGTCACCCTCTCTATGTGATCGGGGATGATATTTTTTGCAACTCCATTGTGCAGCGCTTGTGCGTGCAAGCATAGGCAGCAGCGGGACCCACAGTCTGGGACGAGGCAGCCCTGCAGGGACCCCACCTCTGGTACTGGCCACACACCCTCGAATCAGAGCCCCCATGGGTCAGACTTTACACAGGCTTGTGCAACATCACAAGTGAAATGCAGGGATGACTGACGATGGTATTTCAACCTGCCTATACCTATGTGCCTGTGACGGCTGCTAATAAGCAGACATGGAGGTTTCTCATTTTATTATTAAACTTTGGCTTGTTAAGTTATAATGGAAATGTTATAATGAAAGTATAATGGATAAAGAAAGCGTTGTTACTGGCACACGTTAAGTATATTATAGATTTATACGAAGCCCAAGACAATCCCTATTTACTCAGTTGGCCCAGGAGAGCCAAGAGGGCGGACACCCCTGACTTAGAAGCAGAGACATGCTACAGAGCCTTGGGACACCTGGAGGGGACAGAGGCCTGAAGGACAGGATGTTCTTGTCTGCCCTGGCCGTCCACAGTCCACAGACACCCATCCAACCCCATAGTCCCCAGGTCCCTGGGCACAGCAGAGCAGGACCGAGAGGCAGAACAAGAGGAGATGATGAGCCCCCACCCACCACTGCTGCACGGAGGGCTGCTGAGGCCCCTGACACCACGCCATCTATCCAAGGCCCAACCTGCCACCCCAGCTGCTTGGCCACTGTGACAAAGTCCCAAGAGTGGACAATAAGGCCGAGCAGAAGTCCCTTGCCCATGGCCTTGCATACCCCAGGGTGCAGCTGGGAAAAGAGGTTGCTTGCCTCCAGGCCTGTGTCTTGGAGGGGCCAGAGGTAGCCCAGACTTGGGGTGTCTTTATCACGCACAGGGCTCCCATCTGGGAAGGCACAGCCTCCCCCAGGGGGCTGCAGGAGGCTGGGTTCCCCAACAAGGTGCATCCCCTCCAGACTTGAATTTAGGGGCTGGGCTGATTCAGTGGAAGAGGCTTGTTATGGCCACACTTCCTGATCAGGGGACTGAGTGCCTCTCCCTGTGGTCCACTGTCAAGTGGCTGCTTGCCATTAGGTCCCTGCCTTTCTGGAAAGCACTCGAATGGGAAACCCAGGCGCAAGAACCCCAGACTCCCCCTGAGGGCACAGCCCATTGAAGCAGGAGGAGCACAAGAGCAGGAGGTAGGAAGCTTCGGATCCCAGCACCCGCCACTGGGGCTGGACAGACCCTCGCTTCTGTACCGGAGCGGGATAAACCCAGAGCCCACATTCATCCTGGCACAAGATTGGGGTCCAGGAGCCAGGAGCCGGTAATGTACGGTGTCCTCTGCCCAGGAGGCCCTACAGCCAGGTGGTCTGTGCATTCCTGGACAGCTATGCTCAGGGAGGGACTCACAGCTGGCCCAGGCTGCATGAAGGCTAAGTCTGCTCAAATTTCACAGCACAAGAGGTCTCAGGACAACCTGCTGGACCCTGGAGTGCAGCGCTGGCCTCTGGCTGCAGGGGTAGGGGATGCTGAGCTTCATGGCCCGGTCCTGACCTGTGCTCAGACCCATCTGCATGCCCACCTTTTGGACCAGGTGGTCTGAGCTCCCTCCTGGGCAGCCACAGTAGAGTGGCTTCTTGGGTATGCTGCTAGAATAGCCCATCCGGGGTCTTGCATGAAGGGACTGGGCAAAAGGGGTGGGAGTTTGTCTAGCCCCAACTGTGGGCTGCTGGCCTGTGCAGTTCCTGGAGGGGATTCAGGTGCTTTCCAGCCCCTTGCTGAGGGCCTGGATCCCCTCGGCCCCCACAAGGAGCCTGGATCCGGCAGGGGGATGGGAGCCCAGCCCTCACCTTTGCCTTCACTGTTAGGGGGAGAGCCCAGACTAGGGTGGCATCGGCCACTAGAGAAGAGGTCGCCCTGTGGACCGCAGCATTGGAGAGCCCAGAGCCACCCACATGGACATCGCAAGGGAAAACTGCCCACAGTGCCCAGGGACTATCAGAGAAGGGCCCTGTAAAAGAACCCCAAGCCCTGTGCTCCAACCTATGGTGGGAAGAGTGGTTCTGGGGACCAAGCTGGCCAGGGTTTCTATAAAGAGATGTTCACAGGGCACCCTGATCACTGGGTTAAGGACTAAGGTGCCCTGAGGGTCAGTAAGCACCCACCATGCCACACCTGGGGTAGCAAAATCCTGCAGAATTCAACAGTCCTGCTGCTTTGCAAAGCAACCAGAAGCTCCAGAAGCTCCTCCTAAGGTCAGTGGTTACCTGACATTCCCTCCGTGTGCCCCTGCTACCAGATACCCTAGCCAACATGATACCATGGTGTCGACCAGCCTGGCTGACGGTTCTGAGTCTGTCACTCTGTCCTCAAGGGGACCTGATGATCACGTGATCTGGGACAGGCTGCTGGGGCCAAATCCCTAAAGGCAAAGGAAGGAGCAGAAGGGACAGCGGTTCTGCTCCTGGAGGAGCCACAGCTGCCACTTGTCCCGTTGCAGGCCCCTCCTGGCACCCACAGGAAAGAGGGGGCCACATACCGTGGTGGTCTTTATCCGCCCTCCGGGCTGTGTGCACGTCCAGCCGGACCGGTTGATGAGCAGGTCACAGCCCTCCCCCTCCAGGCAGGGGAGCATGTCACACCACTGCTTAGTTCTGATGATGCGAGCTGGGGAGAGAGGAAGGAGGCAGCTGGTTAGTGCCCGCCCACCGGCACATGGGGATGTCCTGGAGGGGGCCTGAGTCCTAGCACCAACTCTGCCACCCTGTCACCAACCAGCATGTAGCAACCAAGGGCTGTAGCAATGTTTTCATGGAAGAACACCAAGGGCCCTTCCTCGAGAAAGCTGGGGCTCAGTGTTAGGAGCGAGGCAGGCAGGACTTGGTGGGGCTCACAGCAACTGTGTCCCCACCCTGAAGGCATGGGCTGACCCTAAGGCTGTCCCTGCACCTGTGACCCCAAAACATGGTCCTTATTGTGGCCATGGGGCAGAGCAGAGCTGGGCATTGGAGAGGGACAGGTCAGTAGGAGGTGACTCCTGACTCCCATGAGCCCCAGGACCCTGAAGCCCAAAATGACTTCTTCCAGACAGAAAATTGCATGTCTTTTCTTCCCTGGACCTCCCACCCCAGGGACAGGGAGCCCGGAGACTGCATTGGGACAGAAAGCCCTGGACGCAGGGAGCCCATAGTGGAGTTGAGTAATGCTAATAGCATCATTGTAACCTCATTTCCAGAATCTCCAAAGTCTTACTAGCAATTTCTCCAGTAGGGAAAAATACCACCTTCTTTCAAATGGGCTTTTAACTACCTCACTGCATGCTTACAAAAGCAACACCAGAAACTCGTGCTGGACTCTAGGGAGAAGGACACCAGCCACTGTCCAGGGCTGTTTCTTCTCAGGGTTAACTTATACACAGGCACACTTGCATATTCAGGGTTCTGCCCCCAACTCCAACTGCAAGGTCAGAGAAGGACGAAAACAGCGTTTTACACAGGAAAGAAACCCCACAAAAGCCAGAGTCCAACACCTCACAGGAGGAGATGGAAGTGGCCATGCCTGTGTCCCATGCTCGCCCATCCAAATGTGCCCCCATAGTGGTCACTGTGGCTCACAGTATCTGGTGGCTGTCCCTCATGTGGAAGGGCTACGTGACCTCTCATGGCTGGGGATCACCACTCAGAGCACCCTGTTTCTAATGTGCACCTGAAATTCCTCTCATTTGGATGCTGGTAACACAAGTATTAAGAACTTCCCATTTCCCTGTTTGGGCTCCTCCTTCCTGGGGCTTCCAGTTCTCCGGCCCGGGCCCAGCAGGGGATGCACAGAGCCCCGTGAGGTGCTTGGGCAGTGGCACTGCCTGCCTTGCAGAGCCCACCGGCCCAGGTGAGAGGGGATCAAGCCCCCTTCGTCTGGCTCTAGCCCTGCTTCCTCTCTCTGGCAACTTCTCCAGCTCCTGGGCTCCTACCCGTCTTGGACGTTCTTTTTTGTTTCATTTTTGCCTTAAAAAAAAAAAGCCACAGGACTCTCCACTGGCATTAACTAGAGCTGCAGTTCTGCAGGACACACAGTCTACTAAAATTTCTCCCAGCAGGGGCGAGAGGGTTGTCCACAAACATCCGCAAATGCCTGCTACCCTGTGCGTGAACACTGCAGACAGGCAGCCGGGGCTCACGCTGGGTGTTGGAGCAGCTGCACAGGGCCCCACGCATGACGATGGCCCTACTGTCCCCGTGCCTGGAAGTCTTTAATTTCACCAAGCAGCCCAGCAGTTCCACTTTACATGGGGTCCTGAGTCTGGCCCTGGAGGCAGAGACCACCCCGTGTGAGCAGTGGGCAAAGGGCAACATGACTGCGGACAGGCCTGGGTCATCAGGTGACATCACCCAGTGAAAGCCTGTGTTCTCTCCAGGGCAGGGAGTATGGGAGGTCAGTGATTAGTGTGGAAGGGGGCAGGAGTGACTTGCCCTCCTCACTCAGGTCTGAGGGACCAGTGGGAGGTGCTGCAGGTCTGCACAGAGCACAGGTACAGGTGCAGCAGAGGCCCCGAGACTGTGCTGCCTACCCCACTCTGCCTCTTCATGCCCACATCTGGCAAGGCGGGCCCTTCCGGGCCACTGCTATGCACTGAGTGTAGATTCACATGCTGAAGCCCTGCTCCTTGTTTTTGGAGATGGGGCTTTGGGAAGTAATTAAGGTCACACAGGGTCCTAGGGCCCTGATCAACAGGACCAACGGCCTCTTGAGAAAAACCATAGAGCTCTCCCCACCTGCCCACCACTCTGGGAGGGTGCAGTGAGGGGCAGGCATCCGCAGGCCTGGAAGAACCCTCCTCAGAAACCTCCCTGCTGTCCCTGGATCTTGCCTTTGGCCCCCAGAACAAGGATAAATGTGTGTTGCTCACACCCCCAGCCTGAGGGATCTTCCCACGGAAGCCTGAACTGAGAGGAACACAGGGGTGGGACTGTGCCTTGCTCAACTGAAATGCCAGGTGTGGACAGAGACACCAAGAGGGCACCAGGCACACTGCTGCCCTGCAGAGCCCGGGGGAGGAGCCTGCTGGCATCCTGGGAAGGAGCTTCAAGAGGACACAGCTGCCCCAGCCCGTGCTCCCCTAGCCATGCAGCAGGCCTTCCTAGCCACGGCCCCCCCAGCCCCAGTGCAGTGCCCACTGGCTGAGGGGCCTGGCAATGCCACACATCTTTCCATGGCTGTTCCTTATCCCTTCCTGCACAGTCACCAACACCTGCATTATTTTAGTGACAAAGATGGTACAAAACCCTTCCCTAACCCCACGAATAAAACACAGGGCTACCCCACACCACCCTACCCAGGAATCCTATTTACAGTGCCTGAGAATTCCCCAAACAAATCACAGTGTGTATGTGCGTGCATGTGTGTGCCAAGGTGGCACTGGAAAGGCTCCAGTGGGACCTGCCCCAGATGAGCCACCCCAAGGACATACTCAGCACAGCCTGCCGCTGCTTGCACCCGGAATCTCAGGGACCATCACCGGGGCTCCGGGACCTCGGGGGTCATCTTCTTCTGCCCTGAGAGCTTGGGGTGGGAACTCTGCTGTTGGGTAGGGGCACCTCCAGCTCCAAGAGCTGTAGCCCAGCCTGCCACACACAGAGCAGGCCTGGGTGGTCCAGCCAAGCTTGCCCGGACCAGGCAGGGCAGTGCAGCAGCACCAGGGCCGGAGCCTGACCTGTATGAGGGGCACTTATACAGGGCTGAGTATCAGAACTTGGACCCCACAGTACCTCCTGCTGGGAGGGGGGGCTCAAGCCAGGTGCTCATGCTCTGGGCAGGACTTGGCTCCTATCCCTACCGAAAGTCAGCCGAGATCAGTCAGTCGGTGCCCACCCATCGCTACTTACACGAAGCTGAGGATGGCGGACAGATGCTCACGGCATCCTAGGCAGTGGGCATGCATGTGCCTGTCCCCTCACAGGGCCCAGCTCATCACTGGCCATCAGTGAAAGCAGCCAGGCTTGGGTCACCATCCCCACAGCACACAGCAGGCTGTGGAGCCCCTGTGTGTACGCCTGCCCTCTGTACGCTCTGATCTGACAGCTGGAGGTAAGGCCAAGCGTGGGGCACTGTCATGGGGAGAGCACCAGAAACAGGATGTGATGACATGAAACGCACAGGTGCCCAGGGCCAGGGCTAGGAGAGAGGACTGAGGGTGGGGTGTGGGGCTCGGATCGAGCCCAGGATGAAGTCTGCCATGCTGCAGCCTCAGTCACTGGCCACACACCGCACCCTGCACACAGGCATGTGTACAAACACACATGTGCACACATAAAGCACATGCACACAATAGGCACACATGTGTACATACATGCGTCTAGGCTCAGTGCACACTCCCACACACACAGTCAGGCAGACCACTCCGTGCTTGGGAGCCCTTGCACAATCAGCGGAGAAGCAGAGTCTCTGGCCCTGCCCGTCCCCCTGGCCTGGGTGTGCCCAGGGACCAGCCCTCCAAGGACACTGGTGCACAGCACTGAACACTCAAGTCCTTTGTTGGCCTGCAGAGCTCTGCACACCCAGCCCAGCTCAGCTCACTTCCTGCTGGAGGTGGTGGGAGGCACAGTGCTGGGCCACCACATCCCAGGGACAAAGGGGCCTTTCACGCCCACACCACAATGCTGTTTCACCCGGGTACTGCTGAGCAGGCCCCTCCTCTGCCCCTGATGTTGCAGCAGCTCTCAGGGCAGGGAAAAGATGTCCTCAGAGGCTGAGGGGCATGAGGAACAGGCTTGCTGTGGGACTCAGTGGGGACACAGTCACAGCCCGCAACATGTGACAGCCACCATGGCTCCTCTGCTAGCAGTGGTCAGGCATTGGGGTCTCCCACACCTAGGTCCTCTCTGCCTGCCTCAGCCTGGGGCACAGCAGCCCCTCTGCACATGCCTGGCCTCAAGGAAGGAGGCTGCAGCTGTGTGTCCAGACTGGCCTCAGGGACAAAGCGGACGGGCTCTGCCAGGCCCAAGCTTCTGGCAGGTGTCACAGCCCCGGGACCATGCTCTCTGTCTCCACTGACAGCTGTTCCCAAAGCAGGGCTCCGTGTTCTACCCAGAGTTGGCATGGTGCACAAACATACACACATAAGCACACGTGTACACATAACACACACCACACACAGAATACACACCACATCCAAACATACACACACACACACACACCACACATATGAATGTACATAAGTACACATGTCCACACATGCATTCTCAGAGCGTATTTTTGAGGATCGGTTGCTGAACCTTCCTGAAGCTGACCACATGTGAGTCCCCACCCAGCCCTCACTGCACAGCCTCAGGGGGACAGCCACCCTCAGTGACCGTGGCGCTGGGAGAACCTTTGGCTGGAGTCATGCTCCTTGGCCTGTCCCATAAGGGAGGGACAGCTCATGGTGTCCACTGACAATGGCTAGTGAGGAGGGCCCATACCCTTCCTTCCAGGGGGGCCCTGGTTCCTTCTTCTGACATCAGAAACCTGATGACTTTTTTTCCTCTGCCCCATTTGGTTCCATCATAGGAGAAGGCTGAGGTCCATGGCAGGCTGGAAGCTTCATTCCAAGTCTTCTCCAGCAAACTAGGGGCGCCGGCCTTGGGGCCTCTCCACTGCCTTTCCTCAGTGTGTGCTCTGTCAACAGCAGTGAC